AGACGAGCACAACTTTTCACAAATTTACAAAATAATCTTGATTTGATTTTAGTCTCTTTTCAAATCTAGCTTGATAAAGTACTTCGTTCCTTGAAGTTGATCAATCAAATCATCCATTTGAAGTTATGGATATTTGTTTTTTTCCATTTGCTGATTCAATCCATAGTAGTTGATGCATAGTTTCATGTATCCATTCTGTTTCTTCACAAAGAGCACTAGAGCATCATAATGTGAAACATTTGGTTGAATGAATTCCTTGCTCAACATTTCATCCACTTAAATTTTGTATTCTTCCAATTTGTTTGAAGCAAACTATATGAAACTTTGCAAGTTGATGTATTTCAAGATATCACCTTAATTTTATGATCTACTTGCTTCTTTGATGATAATTTTGCAAGTTGATTATTTAGAAAAACATTTTTATACTTCATAAAAATCTTGTTCAAGTACTTCATGATGTAAAGTTTGTCTGAGGATACAATATCTCTTAAAAGGCCAAGGAAATATACATTAACTTTAAGATATGTTTTATTCATCACAAAGAGTATAAATTCTTATTCTGAAATCTAAGTCTATCTTCATAGATCTTTTAATCATCAATTGTTATCAGTTTTCTTCTCCAATCTACTTCTGGATTATATTGCTCCATCCATAAGATTCCAAAGATGACATTATATCAAACTAAGTAAATTACTATCCATTCAATGCTTTTTGTATCTACCTATAAATAATTGTACATTCTGTGATAATGTTTTTATCATTTCAATTTGCCCGTTTGACAATTAAACTTTCTCATTCATGTCTTTCATGAACATCAAACCTAACTTCATAGCAACACTTGTTGACAAAAAATTCTTTATTGTTCAATGATCAATTACAATTCTCACCTTATGTCCTTCCATCGAACTACATGTGACAATGAGTTGAGCTTGTTTCTTACTATTTCCATGAGCTTTCAACCATTGACTTCTTTCAACCTTTTTTTTTCTTTGCTTTGTGAAACCAATGAGGTCACAAGCCAAGTTTACTGTTGATCTTTGTTTCTCGAAACCTCTCCCTCAACTTCTTCATTCTGTATTCTTGTTATGTTGTTGAACAGTTGATACTGTATAGGCCATCCTCCTTACGGTGTCACTCGAATTCAGAAAAACTTGGCAATGTGATCCATTTGTTCACATGCAAAGCATTGACAATTGTCACAAATTGCAATCTCCGGACTGACTCTCACTTAGGTTTACCTCAAATGACTTTGCAATAGTTCATCATGGTTTTAGAATACTAGAATTATCCTCATGGTCATGTCTCAAACACACTCTCACATTTTCCTTCAATTCATCACTCAAATTCATTCACAGATCGACACTCCAAGATGTTGAAAATATCATTCTTTCATATATAAAACAAATATCTACATATAAACTCTTCAAACTTGCTTAAGAGTCTAATACTTAATTCTCTATATATACTACTTGAGAATATATCATAGTAACAAAAGGTAGTTCTTATCTAATTTACTTTTATAAAGATAAACCATAGTAAGTTTGACTGGTTCATAATACTTGGTAACATGTCATTGATTTCCTAATCCTTCTAGATGCTTGTTAGTTCATGGATTGAGGTGATGATATGTCATTTGTGACTTTCCAACTTCTAGAATCTCCACTTGTCATTAAGTCAACATTAGACTTAGTATAACGAATAAAGTTCTCATTATTTAATCAAATCAATCAAAAATAAACATAAATTCAAAATTATTTTTTCTAAAAATCTAGACTTTTGCACAACATAGAAATATTCATTCAAATCTTTTAGAACTTTTTTAGTTTTTCTGCCAAGTATAAATATTATAGCTAAACATAATTGTAACTTGATAAATTTAGTTATAACCAACTAGATTTAGTCATAGCTACGCTAATCATGATTAATTTATTGACTAGTTTTTGTTTTATTTCACACATACAACATCGGGTCTTAAATTTACCCCGGATCAAGATTTCACTACACACTCAAAGTGAAAAAAATTTGATTTTTGATGGAATAGCTTCAACTTGTTGTGGTTAACTCATTCAAAGTGTCGTACTCCTAATTCCTTGATGTCATAAGTAAAATTTTTGCACACTTTTTCAACTATGAAAGGTCCAAAATATTTAGGAAGAAACTTTTTCCTAGCTTATGTCCAAAACCGTTTCTTGTATCGCGTGCTCAACTTGCTTGAAAACCATCCTACACAATTTGAGTTCAAACATACATAGTTTGTTTGGTTTTATCTACCAAAATTGCCAAAAAAAATACATTATTTGTTTGGTTTTTTTTTTCATAAGATTCTTCATTGGACATTGTCGAAGACTCTTTTGACCCGAATAATCCGGACACCCTTCGACACAAGTCTGGAGCCCCGCCTGAAACACTTGAAAACCCAAATTTGCAATTTGTCATTCCAAATTCGCGTTCCTATGAACATCATAGCCAAATTCAATCCTCATCTTCAAACATCCATAACTTTAACCAAAATTCACAAAATTTAGTAAAAACAATGTACTTGGAGAGTAAATCAAGCTTATGTGCGAAGAAGCAAAAAAAAAACAGTGATGAAACATTCAGATTTTGAGAATTTGAAGCGGTTTCTCTAATAGTAGAATGTAAGATATCTCTCAGATTCAAATTTCAAAAGAATCTTTCTGATCACTCAAAACGATTCTCTTCTTTCATCAAACTGTAATCAGTTGTTATGGCTACTCTTCTACCAAGAATCAACCAACAATTACTTCAAATTGCTTGTAGAAATTTTGACAGCGCTTTCGTGCTCCATGGTCTTCAATAAATGTGGAAATCAAAAATTTGCCTACATTGAACTAGCTCTAATACCAATTGAAAGTTTCAATCATCAAAATCAATCAGTACACATGATGGTCACAACACGGAGATAACGTGGTTCACATTCCACATGCTACGTCCAAGAGCAAGAGTAAAATTTTCACTAAAGCATAGGTGTATACACGACCTTCATAGCCAAGTTCTACTCATTCTTGCTCACTCTCTAAGTGCAATCGTGAACTGTACTTAGTGAATGGCTCCTTCTCTCTTCTATACAAGAAGTTATAAGGTGTATAACTTAGCTAACCAAATCACAATTAACTTCTCTAACAATGATATTACTAACTTGAGTTAATGTAAGATAGAATTAACTAACAGAATTGTGGTATGAGTGAAAATGTGACATGAAGAGTTACATTGTATGAAAATCAAAATTAATGATTATATTTTTGTCAATGTAAGTAACAAATTTGATTTTAAGTAGTTTGATTTGGCCACAAATATAATATGAAGTGATATATGTGTTCAAAAATTTTGGTGACATGAAAATAGTAATGATATAGTAAAAATATCTAGATCATAAAATGATAAAATTATAATAATTACATTTTTAGATTAAAAATTGTGAATTTTAGAAATTTTTCAACATGCATTTTTTCATCTTTTTCATTTTATAATTTCTGGTGCATTTGAATGTTTATCTTTATGATATATTTGCATCTAATTTCAACAAAATATTACTTCTTAATTTTATTTTAGGAAAAATTTCTAAATTAATATCTCAAAATTTCATTTTGTTTAGAATATCAAAAGAATGTACTGAGACTTTGACAAACTCTTAAGTTTGTTGAGGGAAGGATTTACAAAAGTGCGGCATGCAACCTTTTGTTCTTAGTGTGTAAAAAAATGAAACAATTGCAGCTTCCACAAGGTGAAGTGCAAATTGTCACTAAACTCTTTGCACATGCAACATATTTAAAATTTTATTTTAAAAGATAAAATTTATCCAAAATATTAATATGATCGTTTGATCAGATAAAACAAGATTTTTGACACAAATTTCATGATCTTTGATATTTCATGCACTCATTTCATTTAGTTCAAAAAAAAATTAAGATAATTATATAGTAAAACATGGATATATAGTTCACAATATGAGGTTTAATAACCAATAGTCTTCTCATCCAATGAATTAAAAATATTTTCAACAACTTGTATACCAATATATTTGTTATAATGCAATACTTTGTCATTGTTTTCATACACATACAACTAGTTTGAGCATAGGTTTCATTCTTACACTAACTTTTATGATATGATCATTCATGGTGGGAGATGACTGATATATACTATCAATTAAAATTGAAAATGGAAGATAATAAGAAATACTAGTAAAATATAGTAAAACTAACATAATCATCCAAGCAAACCAAGCTTAATATTCTTATCTGATTTGAAAAACTATATCATTATTTAAAAAGTGTTACAATAACATTTTAAGAATCATATTCATGTCCAAATTAATGAAAAAAATTTAAAAAAGTTTCTTGATTTATGTCATGTATCCATCTATTATATGTATAAATCTTTATTCAAATAAGCAGATTATATTTGTGAAACGAACAAGTTTATTCATTATATTGGTGTAGAAGATTAACGTTGCTATATTTTGGATCATTATTCAATGGAGAATGACACAAAGATTCACAATGACGTCCGAGAGGCTGTCGATTTTTAGATATTCATCTCCAATGTCATGATAAAAGGAAGTACTGTATGTCAATATCCGCCGACTTATTTTTCCCAGTCTTCAGTGCTTTTCCAGAAAGAGCCAAAATGGCAAAGAGGTGCGCGCTTATAGTTTCACGCAAGCCGGGAAGCGTTCCCTAATCTAAAGTCGGAGGTAGCTCTCCAAGTTGGCGATGATGAACGCTAGAGCAGTCCAGACTGCACAGCCAGCTGTACTGAAATATTACACACTCGAAATACGTCAAGCAATGGCCCAAACTCCGGCGAGGTAATTACTGTAACGGACCGGTGGTTTTCGGCAGCCCACGAGATCCGGCGATATCGAAAGCGAGTGCGAGCATTTATTTGCGTTAGGAACTTGGAAGGCAATCATCTGAATCGTCCGGCTCTCGGGGTCAGTCCAACCGTCCAAACCGGATGCTGCCGACGAAAGTCGCGCTGCTGTTTTCAACACAGAGGAGAAGGCGGGAGAAAGTTCCAGCTGCCGCAGACGGCGTTCTGTCATTAGCTCCGATGGACGTGTAGCTCAAAAGACTTGGATGTACGCTCTTCCAGTGGATCGGCGGGTCGGGGGCTCGTCGAAGTGATCGACTGGTGCGGAAGCCAAATATGGGAATGAACAGCAGTGCATGGTAACAATTGAAATAGCTGAGAAGGAGCAGAGTGAAATCCGCAGGGAGCGTGAGCGGTTGTCGCCCAAGGAAGCAAATCCCGGGCCATGGATGAACTCGAAGCTGAGCAACGACAGCGGTTTGAGGTGCGCAGCACAAGAGGACCCACCGGGCGATTGCGAGCCATCCTTTAGCGTTCGCTGCTTGAAAGAAGGAGGTGAAGAAGTGGGCCCCGGCTCTTCTCCCTGCGCTTCTGAGCAGCGGGCACCGTTGGTTCTGGGCTGTGTCGCATGTATAGTAGGCATCGTATCTTCCCTTCAGTTGCGGGTGGGTTTCAGAGGACGAATCAGCGCCCGCTGCCTTTTGCTGCCGCACCAATCTGAGCAAAGTTCCTCGTTTTCGTCCTTTGGTGGCTCTATGAGGACGCTTCTCCATCCGATGTGCACCCCTCCTCCTCGACCGAAGTGGGTGCGCTGCTTTTGATTTAGCCGGAAACCAGGCGCTTGCACCCAAAGACTAGAGACGCGCAGGTTGTGTTCCGTCATCATTGTCGTACCAATGCCCTTACCTCACGAGAAAGGGGTCCTCATGCACTGCGTTTGCCTCAATCGCTAGACCGGGTCGGTCACCCTGTGCGTGCACTAAAGTCTATCGTACTGTGGTTTTCGATATCTTCTTTGCGATTGCTCGATTGCACCCGTTGGAAGTCGTATCTACGCTCTCCCCTCACTCGTATTCTCGTGCTTTTCAAGAGGTATGAGATTTTCGTGTCCCGTTAATTCGGAGCATTTTCGGTAGAGAATGGGGTGAGTCTGCGTGCCGTGCATCTTTTCGACCTAGCATTAGGTGGTTCGTACCGAATTCCGGTCATGCGGAGAAATACGACGGCCAGCATGCGGAGTAGTGTTTGGCTGCCTTCTGGTTGAAGAACGGGAGCCCTTTGAAGTGCTGCGAAGACTTACTGCCCGAACTTCGGAGGATCGCATGGTTCTGACCCTGAAGATGTTGCTGCGGAGCAGTTCGACTCCCCTTCTAACATCCTTGACTGGCGTGCCTCTGGCTTCGCTTCCCTATACCTGGACAGGTCGGGATGTCGAACGAGAGAAGGAGTCACCGCGGCGTCCTGGCTTGCACAGGTCCGTCTCTTTCTCTTCAGTTGCCCTAGTTTCAGGAGCATCTTCTCCAATATCGCAGCATGTCGGTCTGGTTGACGATAACCGCTCCGTGGATGGTTCGGAGTGGGACTTCAGTGGAGACGTTGTACCTTGGCCTAGATTCAAAAGGGTTCAATCTGAAGGTGAACTCGAGGTCCTCAGTCCAGGGTCCTCCTTGATCGCAGCCGCCGAATCTCTATTACCTCCTCCGTCGAGGAATGGAAACTCGGAGACTAATTTTGATGGGGATAAGAAGTTCAGTACTATCGGACGACAGTGGAGTCGTCGAGTTTTACTACGGAGGCAGTCGTCATTGAGTGTGATCCCCTCTAACAGCGAGGGCTCTAGCAGCTGCGCGTCCGAATCGGAGGATGTTCAAATTGAATCGCTGGAAGGTGTGGAAATAGATACTCCAGGTTTTAACGACGTAGTCGAAGATGAAATTCCCGATTATGGCACCTCCAGTGGTAACGAGGGTTTCCGCGGGTCGGATTACCTCACTCAGATGGGAGAATACTCTTTGCTGAATCCGAATTCGACGAAAGCTAATTGTCTTAACGCTTGTGATGCGGACGCCGGGAGTTCTGACGGTCTAGAATCAGAGTTTCGATTGGCCTCCGAAGCCACTCAAGGTTTTTCTGCCAAGCTGGCATGGGGGTCCGGAAGAGATGGCAGCGGCTATCACGGTGCCAGTGATGGCGAAGGGTACACATCAATTGCAACTGCGGCAAATGGAAACCTTCTGATTTGCAACTCACGAGGTTGCAAGCCAGTGACGAACTCCGATCACGTCGGTCCAATGTTCATAGCTGGCGGGTTTGGAATGGGCGGTGGCGGTGGTAGTGGGCGCAATGGCAGCGTCGGTACCAGTGGGGGCTCAGGACGCGGCGACTCACTGGGAACGGACGCCTACTACAAACGAGCTCTGGAAGCTGACCCTGGACATCCTCTACTTCTTCGAAACTATGCCAAGTTTTTGCATGAGGTAAGGGTAGTATGCGAAGTGTCATTCGAGCAATGATGGTTTAGGAAAGGATCGAGTACTCTTGTCGGTTTATCCAGGAATATTCAGCTATCACCGTCTTACTCATTCTCAGTACCGTATTACAGGTGAAGCGCGACACCTCGAAAGCGGAGTCTTACTATGAGAGGGCCATACTAGCTAATCCAGGTGATGGCGAAGTGCTTGGACTGTACGCGAAGCTCATCTGGGATGTCTACAAAGATGAAGAAAGATCTGGAAGCTACTTTGAGCAAGCCTTGCAGGCGGCTCCTGATAATTCGTGAGTGTCAATTCTGTGTTCGCTGTGCTTCCGTTAGGCTTAAAGTTCCTCGACAAATTTTTCTTGTTCTGTGTCTTAGAAACTTCGTCCTGGTGGTGTGCTGGACGTGTTGTTCACCTTCTTATCTACCACCGGAAGAGATAACTGTCGATAATTGCTTTCATTTGCCTTCTTCTCCGTGGAAGTACATAGGATCGTACTTGGCGTCATTTTGAGGTTTTGCGATGGGAATATTGACTTTCAAGATCTTGCTCGCAGTTATGTTGTGGCCGCTTATGCCTCCTTCATGTGGGCTTCGGACGATGTCGAGGAGAGTCCAGAGCAGCTGCTGCACTGCAGTGGACAAGGTGCTGGTTTGCCTTCACGATACAGTTCTGTAACATCGTAGCATCCTGAGTCAGATCAGTGTCAGGAACATACTCTTCTCAAACAGTTGGTAATTTATTTTCTCTGTAGGTAGCTGACCAAATACATCTTCAATAGAGCATTTCTTGACACGGTTAGGCGGTCTCGAGTAGCTCGGTTCAGAGGGTATTATTAGACCCTTTCGACCATATTTATTTAATTTCAGAAGCAACACCGTGCTATACATGATATTTCCGCTGTACAGCTTAGCTTCCGTAGGCTGGTGTATTCTTGAGGATTTTGCCGGACACTTTTGCCAGCAAATTTCCCACCCTTCCCTTGATGTTCCTGATGGTCAAAGTGGCCCCGTTGTACTCAAGTGAGTTTGTAGTTTATTAAACTTCCGAGGTTTGTGAGTAGTTCTTTCGCGCTGTTCGATCCAAGGCACATGCCTATGTAGATAAAATATGTACATCATTGAGATAATGGAGAAACCGAGCCAGAACTCTCGATTTGGTAGGTAATCTCGACTTATTCGTCATCGGCGTTCTTTAAGCATATCTTAACGAAGTCGTGACTCTCTCTGACTTGTTGCTCTACTCTGTGCATATATGTGACATTTTTTATCGCGCCCGACATAGGTTTGGCAGGAGATTCCTGCCCTAGATTGCAATCTTGACCAAGGACTATCTTCTTGATCTCGGGGGTTTTGTGCGTTCTAGGTCCTTATAGTAGCCCCTCCACGCATAAGAATGATAACAAAAGTGCACATCTTGTCAACCCAAAGAGGACATAAATGCCGAAATGATCGTTTGCATACTTTAGAGGCTCAATCACTATCTAAACCCTCCACCATGGCGCCCTCCCTTATACCTTATGCACCACGAAGGGCCTCGATGAAGGCCTTGGTTGTTGTTCATCGGACACAAGAATCTATCTACACCTTGGATGAAAGATTTCAAATGTTTCCACCCACATAGATAGTCTACAATAACATAAAGTATGTTGGAGGCGGGGCAAAGAATGTTCTGAACGAATCATCCACGCTGTCACGGAAAGATAATGTCGGGCCCGCTACAGGTACTGCAAGTGAGCCGTCACCGTCAGCTTGCCCACATCACAGCCTCCAGCGACCGTCACATCAACAGGTCAGTGACCATTCTGCAGGGGATCGCGGCGGATGCGGTTGGTAGTATAGCCCACTGAAAACTATGATCCTTGATCTTGCGAACCTCAGAGTACATTAAATGTATTATGGTCCCTGTCCTGCGTCAGGCAGGATCAAATGCAGTTATGATCTGCTTCCGGACACCGTACTGTACAGCAATGTACTGAAGCTCAGATTCATCTCACTCGCACCGATTCTATATGATATCTTTGCCGGCCCCTTAAAATATCCTGCGGGAGCATTCACTTGGTTACCAGCGCAACCAAGCAAAGGGTAGGAAGAAATTTCGCCAGGAAGGATAACACTTGTGAAAGCTATTTCTTCCTCCTGTGCTTTCCCAGCGAGCGAGAGAAGTGTGCAACATTGCGACGATCGCCAGCTGGCAAAGTTTAACTGTTAGATGATCGTGTAGAATACTGCATTTACACAGGAGACAACGGGGATCCACAAATGCCTCTCCGAGAATGTATAAGGAACCGTTCCAGATTCTTTAATGGGTGCGTAAGTTTAGTTAATATTGACTGATGGATACTGATTCAGTAGATGGAACCACCCTTCGTGGGATCTTCGATTTTCATGATGCCGATCACAACAGTAGTACAGCTTCAGGATTATGTGGAGAGGAAACGAGGAACGACCTCAATTGGTTCGTTCTTCGGGACTCCGTGAACACTGCTATCGGAAACGAGGTTGCCATGGCAGTCAGTTCATACGTAACTTCTTTCTTGTTCCTAAATCAAGTCGTCAACTTCATCTATTGAGATCCAGGCTGAGTCTCCGCGGTGGTTGCAGTCCCGTCACAGCGCAGCTTAATGGCATGGCAGTTATAGCATTGTTTGGCTATGCTGCAGCAGAACTACATACTGTTTCAGTCTGAATGCTCAATTTGTCCGGTATCCTCGATTTTTCCCCTCACCTCCTCTCTTCGGCCACGAGCATGTGAGCTGCTCAGATCAAGCCCCTGACATCTACCAGCACCGGAAGGTTTTCGCCCAAGTGTATACACTGCCAACCTATTCATTGCTCTTGACAGCGTTGTGGAGGCAAGCATCAACACTGTGCTAGAATGCTGAGATTTTCGCTTGTCGTTCTATTCTGGACACAAAGGTTTGTTGCTGCATCCCTTCTGCATGGCAAGGACTTAGAGCTGGAGCTACAGGCGGAGGCGGAGGCGTTGTCTTCCAAGGGCATACGGGTTCCACCTGCACCTCAGCCTCCGCTCATGTTTGGAAAAGCAGGTACGCATGACCGACACAACCCGTAATCTTTGCTCCCCTCTCGTCACACCCTTTCAGTGGCTTAAGACTTGCCCTTGCCCTTGATTCGCCTTGACAAACGAGCAAGCCAGCATCCGGTTCTTGCTTGATAATGTCTTCCTCGCCTCCAACTTAGCCGTCTTTCTTCACATCCTCTGGCCTAAGGCTAGAGCTTCTGCGCATGTTGATATGGTGTATCGCTCTTAGTTTGGCCAGGGTGACACAGCTGGTTTGTGTGAGTATGTGCGCGCAGGACTGGTCAAACGAGCTTGGCCGGAATTGCGTTTTGAAAGTGTGGACGTTGCCAAGGCGAAGTTGAGGCAATCGGGCGTGATGAATATCTACGTTCTTCCCCCAGGAGCTGATCCGGCTCCCACGGGCTTTGCTGTTGTCAATGGCACGGATCAGGATGTCTGGCTCTACCCCACTGGCCCGTCTGATCTCGACATTCTCTACGAAATTCCTGGGCGCGGGTTGTGGCATCACAATCGTACGATCTCGGATCTCCTTCGCAACTTCTATGCTCCCACCGATCATTCTCCTCCACTTTTACTTATATTGGAAATTATTTTTCTGTCTGCAAGTATTTTGCCACAAGTTCTAACCTGAACCAACGACCCCTAGAAATTTCACTGCACGTAGCCATCCCTTGACTTAAAACCGCATATATTTCGTTAATCTATAGTTGTTATTACGCAAACGGAACAGCTCTAATGAGTCAGATGGGCTTTTACAAAAGGCTTGATGTAACATAATAATTTTGAGTCTTCTAGCTGGGTTTACTTCGGAGCTAGTGTGAGTTTATGATTTTGAAAATTAAAATATCCAAACTGTGGGAAGCAAGTAAAAAACTAACGAAGGCTCATGCATTTGAATTCTATCAGAAATCTCTATGCATATAGAATTTATGCACCAAAAAATTCTAAATATTCCAAATTAGCAGCATCCCATCCCAAGTGCGTCAGATAGCATACCATAGCTCAAAAAAGAGAACTACTCCTGAGCTCTGGTTTTCATGGCTAGCCCGAAGCTCAAATGCTTGCAATAGAGGTGAGGTCACAAATCACACAGCTCAGATTAGCGACCCCACTCAGTCTCCGGTTTAATAACCTGTCTCGTATCTCTGCGTTTTATATTCCCTGGGTCACATTCTTTACTTTGTACTTAAATGGGATACAGCACCTCCCTTATCAATGCGTACATTCCATAAGCTCCAGAAAGAATGAGATACTCTGCAACAGAGAATTACAGTTTTCCTTATTGGAAGTCAGCTTCAGTACTGGAGCCCACAGACTCACCCTACTCTTGCTTGTGTATACTTTGTATATTTGTATATTCCGTCTTTAATTACAGCCTCTGATAAGATTACTGCAATGAACACAGCAAGTCACTGCATTGTACCATGCGATACATTTAGACGGTACAGTATGTGGTGAAATTTGTTTTAAGAGCAGGGCATGTAATGTATTGCGTTTAGCGAGTTGATAAGCGTTATGGTAGCACTTTCTTCGACAGCATCTAATAACGAAGATGCACATGCTTGTCTGTGAGCGAACGCGCGCAGGATTGGATCCCGGTTGGCCAGAGTTGGTAGGGCAGGAGTATCTTACAGCCATCGACCAGATAACGAACGACATTTTAGGAGTGACTGTGCTCTACGGTCCTGCCGGGCAGCCACGTATGCTTGACCTTCGACTCGACCGTGTCTACGTTGATGTTACAGCGTCTGGCACGGTGGCCACGATTCCGTTCGTTGGTTAATGCTGATTGTCTTTCCCACGAACCTTGGCTCCGCTTTTCCAAACGTCTATACGACGTTCGACTGAGGTCTGAGCCTTGTCTTGGATGCTTCCCAAACATGTCCAAGTCAACGCCCAGTCGGCAATTATTTACTTAAATTTACTTTCTCACTTCTGGGCTTTCTAGTCATACAATCCAAATTTCATGTAACTTCCACGATTGTTTCCACGAGACAATAAAATTGATAGCGTATCTCTTTAAAAGAACCTATGTCGCTTGTACCATATGAGAACGATTTCATGCTTCATTTGTAATGGTTATTGTTGAGTGTAAATATATTATTTCATTATTCATTTAAATTTCTAAAGGAAAATCGATAAGATATAATAAAAGCATTGAACATATAAATATTTGATAACTTTACAATTTATATGTATAATATAAAAAAATGTAAGATGAATGAAAAAATATACAAAGTAACTTATCGATACAGCTCTAGCTTTGACAGAATAAAAGTAACATGCATCTCTATGGGAATATGTTTAGTTTTTCAATGAAACTATAATTTCAATAAAAATAATAATATGTTGAATCTAAATATTCACAATTTTTCTAATAAATTTTAATTCATAATTTTTTATTTAGATTATAATTCCTATTTATTATTATTAGCGTGTATGATATTATTGATTTATTGAAGAAGTAAAATCTCATAGATATATTTTAATAGTGGAATGGCATCTTTTCTGTACTCACTATTCTTTGCTGCATGTAAGTTGTACGAAAGCATATACATGGTTGGATGCTACAAAGTCCACATACCCCCAAAGCGTCAAAGACTAACAATGAAAATTCAAGGAATAATCTTTATTTAGCAAGCATTTACGAATAGCGATACTTCAGAATATTCAATTCAATAGAAGATAACTAATCACACGTGGTTGTTACAACAGCCAGCCCCCATAACCAAGTAAACGACCATACAAATTCTGCAGAAACTCTCAATCAAAGGTAGAATGACTATAAGTAAAGGGAGAGATCAGTTATCTTTGAGTTAAGGCTAATTATCTCTCATACTAATATGTTTTATAGAAGAATAGTTATGATCGATCAAGGGTAAGATGCAAGGACAAAAACGAGACGGGTACTATATCTAAAATAGGGACTTCTTTGTGAGTTGGCAGAGTTTTTTTTTTTTTCCCCTTTACTTTTCTATGGAACAACGTCCCGTTTGGGCTCAATTAAAAATCACAAATGAAATTGTGATTGGAGTCTTCTTTCCATAGTTCTGGCTCTTTTCAAAAGGCAGAATTATGGATTCTCTATAAGATTCATACAATGTTCACTGTAACAGATTCTTATGATATTTTTTGCACTTATTTCATTCTAATACTAAATGTCAGCATTCTTCCACTGGTTTAGTTCTCACTTCTTGGTATTTATCTTCTTCGTTAATTTCACAGCGATCAACTTCGTGCTCACGAAAAACTTGGATCCTTGTCTGCAAAGGAGCATATCATTCATAGACGTTGTTTGCTTATTGAGATGGGCTGTTGTTATATGAATTCAAAGCGTAATCTATTCCAATCTGAAACGATTTTTTATACATGAAACACAGATACTAAAAAGATCATACTATGCCACGAGATCATAAGAAACATTTGCTACAAGAACAAACATTCATAACATTATTACAAGTAGAGCGAAAGAGTGACCTTGATTATAGGTAACAAAATTTATAGTATTGCTAGAGAAAATCCAGCGAATAACTCCTCTCTACAATCGATGTCTCCTAGTTACTACGTAGTACTACCGATATAAACGTCTTTGATCTAAATATCTCGAAGGCGAGGTAAAGAAATCTTCGATAACTAGCCGCTACCTTTATTTGCATATTGAACTCTGATCAATTACAGAGTTCTCTTTTGTAGAGTATAGTAACGTGAGTGAAAATTATATTATTGCATATTGAACTCTGATCAATTACAGAGTTCTCTTTTGTAGATTATAATAACGTGAGTGAAAATTATATTATTACATATTGAACTCTGATCAATTACAGAGTTCTCTTTTGTAGAATATAGTAACGTGAGGGATAATTATATTATTGCATATTGAACTCTGATCAATTACAGAGCTCTCTTTTGTAGAGTATAGTAACGTGAGGGATAATTATATTATTGCATATTGAACTCTGATCAGTTACAGAGTTCTCTTTTGTAGAATATAGTAACGTGAGGGATAATTATATTATTGCATATTGAACTCTGATCAATTACAGAACTCTCTTTTGTAGAGTATAGTAAAGTGAGGGATAATTATATTAAATAGGGAGATAACTAACCGCTTCCTAAGTATATATCTATTTTTATTTATTCAATTGTACTTTCTAGAAATCACTTTGATTAATCAACAAAGCATACCTGATTATTTAGGCTTTACCTTTAATCTTAGGCCAAGTTTAATATGATTTATGTCTAAAATATTGCGAGCTTCCATCCGAATTACTTTTTATCGCTTGCAGATTCTTGCTTACCGTACATATCTCTTACACAACCACTCATTATTCTCTTCGCTACGTGTTATTAGCAGAATGTTTTGAAGGTGTGTGTAAAGTTAACGTTGTCCAAGGACAGAATTTGTTCTCAAATTACTGGTATGTCCATATTTCTTGAACTTGATCGCCGCAAACAAACTTGGGGGCCTTTTATAAACTATGGCTAACAATATACTTCCACGAAACGAGATTCTCATTTCCATGTACAATCATATACTAAGGAATAAAAATCCATTAACAAATATACTTGATAGATAATGCTCCGTACTCAAATTACAGTTTGGTGCTGCACATCAAATCACAAAGGAGAGAAAAAGATGTATACACGTTCATAACAAAATATGCACGTTGGATGGAATTAGCCATGGAACCAAGCTCTACGCCTCAGTCGAAAGGGACAATTGATACTTTCCCTACAAACCTCATGTGGATCATGAGTACTAGGCTTTAGTTGGCGAAAGCAAATCGAGAAAAAAAATCCAAAGAAGCTAGAGCAATTTTTCTATTTTTGTCTGCGCTCTTTCCCGCATATTAAATGAAATATTCATATGAAATATTTTACATTTTACTACTGATTGGGTCTTCCATATTGAGGCGGGCCTTCGACTCATAAATCTGCATCTTTTTCAACTACAGATCACCGGGTTGATCCACATGCACTTCTTGTTTTTGGAATTTGATTACATGCGTTGTATCAACAGAAGTAATACACCACCCTCACTATCTGAATGCTTTACTGCCAAAAAAAGACAACCCGTTTTCTCTTAATGAAATCCTTGTCTCTGCGCCAAGTCTTGGCAGGGGATTTCGCAGAACTAAGCAATCTTCGGTTATGAATTGGAAATTTTCCCCATAATTATAATTTCAGGACTGTCCATGAAAAGAAAAACTCCCCTCCAAACAGAGTCGTCAGTGCAGAGCTCCCTGCGATCGTAATGCTTTGCTGAACATTTATTCGTTCTCCGTCTTGAACAACCCGTGTTTATTCCGCTTCCGATGCCATTCAAGGTTCTCATCTCCGAGGCACGTTCCCAGTCTTCTTCATTCTTCATACAGAATCCTCATTTGGCAGCAAACGAGGTCCCAGTCACAATAGGGATATGGAAAGATTGAATGAAGGTGGACATAACTGGATACGTAGTTCTCATCGTCATTTAGAGATCTTGGTTACCGATCGGATATAAATTGCAGTAATGAAACCTTAGCCTACCAAGTTTTTAAGTCTTAGCCTCCATGCACTTCAGGCAAAATATGTCTAGAGAAGAAATCCTCTCAATGTATTCGCGCAGGCAGCTTGAAGCTGTTTTGATCTTTCGGGTAAGAAAGTTGGAGCTGCGGTAATGCGAGGTCTGGATGAGCAGATTTGCAAGACCATTTGATTGGTGACCTGAATACAAGCACCTGGTGCTTTATCGGTGCTTTTCATGTAAGCCTTTGCTCCTGGCATCGTTCATTCGGGACGCAGCACACAGGTATACGATCGAGAGTCTGAACCACACAACGTCCGATGTACAGTAGATGAATTATTATATGATTGCGATCGATCGAATGAAGATCTGTTCCCGTTGACTGGGTTCACAAGGTCACAAAATACTGATTGTTACTTAGTAGTCTTTATTCACTAGCTTATGGCCTTGGACTCAATTCATCTGACAGTTCTTTCCTCTCCGCTGGCGGCGTTCTCAGTGGCCGATGGGCCTAGTGGTAATGTTTGTCCTGAAGCAGATCCTACCGCAGCAGTATACCTGAAACGGGGTAGTTGCAGTTTACATTCATTGCAGTTGTCACTTTTCCATGCAAATAATGCAGTGCAGGGTGAGTGTACTATGACAACACAACTACGAGGAGACTCTAATTGAGCTGAGGGACGACGTCTAAAACCAGGTTGCCTTGTCGCACATGCAACTACGACATATAAAAGAATCCGATTTGAAGACGCTGCCGAGTGATTTAGCTGGTCGGTATGAAGCTACGTAAACCTGAAATTTCCCTTCGGCTTACGAAAGACTGCAGGAGCACGTCATGAAAGCGAAAGCGGGCTGGGCTCGATCGAGAGGCATATTTATCGTTACTAATCATGCTTGGCTGATGTTCGGATGGAACTTTTCTTGCGGGCAGATTACATGCAAGTAACCAAGAGTTCTGACAAATCCTCGAGACAGGTTTCAAAGTACTGTATGAATGTTCTGGCCTTAAATAAGATTTAGATAGAGAGAGTTGTTAGTCCTGCCCAAAATCTCCACATCTTATTGTAGCGATGTCCAGACGAACTAGCTTGAGGGTAACTTCTAGCTCAACTCGTGTCAACGCTTCATCCCTTGAATCTCGGACAATAGTCTGAGTGTTGTATTACAGGTAGTCGTGGAATTGAATCAACATGCACCAACAGCACGGGATCAGAATCAAATTCAGTTGCAATGCGCTTACTAACTCACTGTCCGGCAGCAAAGGCTTGAGCAGCGAAGACTTTGTTAACGCCCCCATAGCTCTTGAAAGTGATATGGTCACCATCAACGGTAATGTCGATTACAGGGACCCAGAGGAACAGCTCCTTTGCCTTGACTCCGCTCAGCTTCCTGATCTTGCCCTTCTCGACGTAGCCCTTGATTTCTTCGGCGTAACTGACTTGCTTGCTGATGAGCTTGAACGTGTGCTCCACCTTCTTCTTCTGCGTGATCCACATGTAGCCTGTGGACTCGTCGAAGCCCAGCTCCTGCACATCCTCCAGCGGCAACAGGCCCAGCGGCAGACCGAACTGCTCCATGAGAGCCACGGCCTTGTCCATCGACTCATCGTGCCCCGTCCACACCACAGCTCCGGCCTTCGCATCCTTCTCTCCCGATCCCGTCTTCGAGTCCTTGGCCTGAGGCTCCCCTTTCAGATCGGTCTTGGCCATAGTGCCAGCTACTTGCTCCACGGTGGTGCTCGCTGTCATGAGGGGAGAGGTGAAGAGAAAGCAATTCGCTGCAGCTCCTGCAGTGTGCGCTGAGAGGAGAAGGGGAAGAGAGCCGATGATGGATGACGGACCCGGAAGAACATGTACTATATATGTGCATCGGGAGAGAATAGAGCGAAGTGCGACGGGAACCCAAGGGCACATTTTGAAGAGACAGCTCAGGGATAGAGCGAGCTGCAGTCTCAGAGACTGACAGTTGGATTCTCTGTCCGAGTCAGTCACGCCTTGGTTCTCGATCTCAGATCTTCTGCTTGTCTTCAGAACTCATTCGCCTGTCTCGACTCACCCACTGCCCACAGATGTGATTGATACCCGAGCTGCCGAACAGCACCTAGCAAGGTAGTTCCACCCAAGGCAGCCAGCCGACCAACCTGACTGCTGTTAGTCTTCCGTTGTCCGCTACTCCTCCTCCTCATCAACGACTCCCGCGACGGGAGTGGGCAAGGGCATCATCCTCGTGAGCATCGGCATTCCGGCACACAGAATGTCGACGTCCTTGTGAGTGTCGGACCAACTCAGCTTTTCATGGATGAGCTTGGGCCGGGTCAGAGACTCAGAGATCCGCGACCTTGATGTGCAAATCGGGTGCAAATCCATAACTTCGCTCACAATCCCTTTCCCGCTCCCATGCACCAGCCCACGCAAAGGCTCGGGAGTTGGGGCTCACCAGCCGCCGCGGAACATCTGAATCACAGAAATTATTGATTGTGTTCAGTCTATGGTCTGAGTGGAAGCCGGTAGGCCACACTCACCGGCTCAGTAGCCGTTACCTTCCATATTGCCGGCAATTTTCGCAGCAAACATCATTGATTTACTATGGCAGGTGGAGATTTGATCGCTAATGGATTGATGTACCCTCCAGCACTTCGAGTAATCAGCTCATTAGTTTTCTTATTACCGATTGAGAATCTAAATTTTCTCCAAAGATCATAGTCTCATGATATGCCCAACATTATTTTGACACTCTATCTTCGGTAAAGCCGGCCGAACCTCGACTCTGGAACTGCTTCACCGAGAATCCAATCACACGACATCCCATGTAAGTTTTGGATAAGATACCAGATTTCTAATGTTAGCATGACCCCGTTTCCTCCACTGGGAGTTGAATAATGTTTCGCAGTACATGTACCTTGAGAGAGAAGAGGGCAAATAAGAGATATTCCCATACTTTCATACGTGAGGAGCTTTTGAAGAAGTATGGTTCAAGCTACTGTAAAACTGAACAAGACAGATTTGTGTCTTAGTTTGCGCACTCGTGTAAATGATTAGCTGAGCGCGAATGAACATTGAAAAACCGTGGGTATTCAAAGTAAGACATAATCAGTCTTTCCACAATATTCCCAAATTATTGGCAAACCCAGATAGTGCTCCACTTCGGTGTTACCGGCATTTGCTAATCCATAAGTGCGGAGAACAAGTTTCATCCAGAAACAAACTCCAACACATACCGAGACCTTACGCAGATACAAATGTAGATATATGCATATGTTCTGTGATACACAGCTACATATGCATGGTCGAAGTCTTCACAAGTAATGTTCTGGTAAAAAGAAGGTGAGGGCAGACTAATGTTTGAAGTGACACGCCATGCGATGTCTTCAAGAAATTAACTTGATGACCTCCGGCGGTTAATAGTCCGAGGAACGATGACAGCGCACGAGCAAAACAATCAACACTTCTTACGTCGATGTGCACTCGCTTACACTGACGATCAAACCAGAAGTTGCAGATGTACGTCCAGATATTGACAGAGGCACCTTTCTTGGCAAGCTAGGAACGGCTCTATTCATTATCTCATTACTTTAGTACTTGCGTGACATAGATCACTAGTGGGAAGAACTGTTGAGGGTATTTTTTCGAGCGACCTAAATGTTTATAACATACATCAGGAAACCTCGGGCATGATCCAAGATGTTGGTAGCCATGAAAAAGTTTCACCGACTGAGATAGCGATTCGGATTGAAGGCATCAAAAGTCTAGATCTCGGAAGATTTCGGCACCAGAAAATGAGCCCCGTCACTGGGACAAAACAAATTACATCACAGAAATGAAGCATTGCAAATGAAGGTCAACATCTCTTCATCCAAATTCTCAATCTGTTCAAACTCTGCTAGATTGACTTCGTAGCAGAGAGTAAAAACTTGACCTGTAAGCCACACTCTTCTATGTGATATTGCTCATATGCTTGGCAACCCTTTCTTGATCTACTTCGAAGAATTCTAACAAAGTACGAAAGATCCAAGTATGCCACGGTTTCTCTATGTTACAGAGGTAAGAGGTCGACAATCTGTGATGTACAGGGACGGCCGATTGCAGTGGATGGTTGTCTTACGCAGAACTGTTTGGCACGGATGCCACAGCTGCTAGCCTTGTGTACATCAAAGCCATAGACTGATAACCCCGATTGTCCCCCGATCGTAACAAGTTTCCTGTAAGGGAAAACAACTGCACTTGTAAGGATATGCTTTTCACAGCCTGAACACTATCGACCCCGCATCCTGATTGAACGCTGCTAGTTAGAAGACGGGGAAGAGGAAGAAGAAAGGATACGTGAGAGCTAGATGAGGTAATGACTAGATGATATGAAGAGAGTCTCCCATGATATAAAAATTATTACAAAGTTCTTCCATTCCTCGCTCCTTGTATAATTATAACAATGTTTTCTTTATGTAGAAACTTCCTACATTCTTCATGAACAGATTTTCCACCTACTAGTACTTGGTGAGATAATCAATTATTTCAAAGTTGGAACGTGGAGAAAGAAGCGTTTACCGCAGTCGCAATTGAGAGGACTGTCGGCCTCTGGATGTGCCAACAGTGCAATAACAGCACGGCAAACTGACTGCAGTGTCCATGCCGGACTCCAAGCTGTCTTCAATATGTCCAAACAAATCTCGCCGGTCTGCAGACATCCCTCACACTGCTTAGAAACTTTTAAAATGAAATAACCTGAACACCTATCATTATATCTCTGATTAAATCTCTATTGCTTTTGTGATCCGTGTACCAAAAGTGCCAAAAGGCTTTGATATTAATAAAGGTGAATATCACAGGCTAAGAAGATTCCTGAGTGTTGTTCCCAAAAGGAATGCAAATGCACGATACAGAAGAAAGCACAAGGAGTAACCGATAGTACCAAATAAATCACAAAATTTACTCGGTCCAGAACCAGGGGCAGCAGCATTTAAGACACAGAACTTGTACATGCACTGAGTTGGGAACATGCATGGTCTTCACAAATAAAGTCTGTAGAAGGTTGGAAAGTCACTAATTTACCTTGAAGTGAACATTTGGGTGAAATATCTTTGTCACGAAACGAACTTGTGGTGGTACTAGAGGATATTGTTCCGGCACATTAATGGCAAGCTGAAAAACACCTTCTTGGTAAGGAGTATCTGTTGGTCCCTGTTTCAGGATCATAATGAACAGGTTACCAAGCTTTAATAAACAAGAAATCATGCGTGAAATCTACAATTAAAATTTGTTCCAAACAGCACGTTGTTTGGATCAATCGCATTTAGCACACACTCTTGGATGACGCGATAGTTGTGAAATGTACCTTAATCAGTGCAGTCCAACGATAAATGTTTGTTTCGTCACAAAGAAGCTGAATATCCGAATCCTGCCCTCTGTCTCTTTGTACTTCTTTGTACTCTTTGAACAGTCTTGCCCTTGATGCCTGCCGATTAGATTCAACCGGCAAGATCATTTGACTCCGTTAGATGACAGTTAGAACACATTATACTGGTAAGGGGAAGGTGACCTATTAATCAAATTGTCTACTTTTATCATCTAACAGCAGGCTCTCACCGTAATCCGATCTAAAACCTAGCAATTTCAGAAGATCAGAGAAGGTGTCGCACGACAACTGCATCCAATCTATCTCAAACGTAATCTATTGTAGCATCTGATCCTAGGGTCATACAAGTAGAAGGTCATCTACATATATCCAGAGCAAATTTCAAAAAAACAGGAAGAACAAACTGCTATGCAAGCGAGCATATCACATATGACAGACTGAAATGATCTAAAGACAAAGCATACGAGAATCCCATTAGCTCCCAATCGAAACAACGATATACGCGGAATTTCCAGACCTAATTCAAGGAGTCATACCATAAGATTGCACTGTCTTATTCTATCCGAACAAAGTGATTTTCCTCGGCCTTCTCAATATCACGATCGGGTGGATTGTGCGGGAAATCCAGACAGACGCGTGGAAAATGGAATTCACTATCGACAACAATTCGCGATGATTGCAGATCACTCGAGGCAACTGCTGCGACCGTGCGCTGGATCCGACCACTAATGCCTCTCTAATAAATCAAATCAATGGACTCATGCTGCTGCTGTGAATATCGCAATTAATTCGCAAAATTTCAGCACGCGAGTAGAGCAGCATTGTATTGCTCTTCTTCTTCAAAGACTAACATTGTGCAATGTTTGAGTGTCTCTTTCACAAGCCTAAGCCTCGTATCATGAGAAGAAGACGGACGCAAAGTTGCAACATTCGGAAGGAAGGAACTTATTCGACAGAATCTTCTGCATTTTTCACAACAGTAGCAAATGTCCTAGCAAAGACCCCAAACAAACGTATGACGTATTGACGCCCGGAAACCCACTTCTGTAATGATAAAAATAGTCAGTACGGTTCACATAAAGACAAAATGATTCAATTGTGATGTTTCGTAGATATTATTACATTGGAATAGAAAAGAGGATCCAGAATAGTAAGCTAATTTTAACATCATTGTAAGCAAGATTTGCAATTTTTTGGAATAAAAGACATTTGTAGTCGAAACAAGGTATTATATTTTGTTCAGATTTGTGTCACTAATCATTCAAGTCGTTACGGATCACTTGTGAATTTCTTAAAATTAACTTTGACAATTACTCAGAGCAGGCGAAATTAAGAAAGAAGTTATAAGTAGTAAAGTATAAGAAAGGTTCGATTAAGATATCTTCTATATAACAATGCTACATTATACAAACTTCATGTAAGCGATGGAAGATTGTACTTGGTTTGCATATAAACAACCATAATTAATTTATAATACTCCTCACTCCACACATATTTCTGCATATTATTCCATTATACCCTAAACTGAAATTAATAATAATATCATTATTATTATTATTACTATTATCACCATCCATTTTCACAACTTGCAACCCCTTGGTAATTTAATAATACATGCTATCGAATGTTTCTATATTTTCAACATATGAAATTATGGATTAAAGTCATTGGTTGATATAGTATTGTTGAAATTAAAATCAACACTGTCGAATATTAAAGCAGCAATGGAATTTAGATCTTGACAACATTACTTAATTATAAAAGATTGAATGTCAAAGGAAAAACTTATTAGAAAAAAAATGCTATGTTCTTTATACAAGGTTAAAGCATTCCTTCAATAACATGTTTTCATAGCATTACACCTATGAGATTTTCTTGCTACCCCTTAGAATTGTTATATAATGCTTATTAATCTCTTTTTAACTCAGAACATCTATTTATTTCCATGAAAGGTATCTTCATACCTATTCGGAAATCAATATTCAAGTAAATTTTGGTTCATATTTTCAACCTTACAAATTCATCTTTACTTTTATTTTTTGCATGTGAATATTCTTAAGTTTATTGGTTTTACCCATATACATCACATTAAGAATACGCAAATAATTGAACATGTAAGGGAAGTGAGATTTTATGAACTATATGGGCCTATTCGAAAAATCCCGTGAACATAATGGTAAATAGATCAAGCTCGTGATATCCAAAGGATCAAAAGGCTAAAAAACACATAACAAGTCCTTCATTAAATGATCAAGAAATAAATTCTAAAGAACTTCTCCTGGTTAGTGTCTATAACAACGATGAATAATGACATCCCTGATATAACAACATAAATCATATGACACTAGCTGTAGTAAAAAATATAAATTCTCTACATATATTTACAACATGTTTGAATGATAATACACTAGGTTTACCATTATATGTCACTAGCCTACCACCTTCTCTTCTACTTCAATTGGGATATTGAGGTGCAAACTCATAGGCTGGGTAATATGTATAAGATGTAAATGGTTTTCATGGAACAATCTTCCAACGCCATTGTCTCACAAGCCAGTGCTTCATTTTTTTGATAAGGTAATCTTATACCTACCTCTTTGTAAAGTAATCCTTTCAACCTGCATATCTAGAAAGTGGATTCCAAGCACAATAGCAATGTAAAAACAACATGAAAACAAACAACAACATTGAGCTAATCAACTCCAAAACCATATCAAAAAATACATGTATTTCAACATACAAGTTATCTAAAGTATTAGGTCAAAAGTCTACAAACAACAAGAGTAGATGAAAATTCATTGTCTTACGAAATACGATTGAATTCTGGATAAATTATTAGCTAGTGCATTCTATATAGCAATAAAATCACATTGTGATTAATCTGTTACTATAAAAGCAAAAGTGACATCTACTTATGCTTCATATGATTAGCTCTTTTTTGCACTATCTTGAAAGCATTTAAAAATAAAACTCAAGATTCCATATAAATTCAAATAAAAACTTGATTCATCTGTATATCTATATATTTGAAGACTTATGCAATTGCAATTTCATTCAATACTCATTATTGATGATAGTCAATAATTCCATCTGAACTAGATCACAAGCAGGTGAATAAGTTGCAAAAGTAATATACTATTTCAACACACAAAATTGTCAAAGATATAAGTTTTTGCGTCAAATATTATATCTAGCACTCAAGATCTTTGATCGGAGTTTGTCATGAAAAAAGATGATGATTTTTAAATGAAAAGTTTAGATAATAATGTTTGAGAAATAGAAAAATTTCAATGAATACAGCAAAGTTGACCAACAATAAAAGTATCAATGCCACATGCATACATCTGAGTAAGATAACATCATTCATATAAAATGCACATTTAAAACATGCATAGTCCAGTTAATAAGAAAAAAAAAAAATTTGTTAACTTGCATTTAGAAAATCCACATGTCATTTTTTGTGTCATATTTATATTATCCACAAACTACCTAAGTAAGACATGCATATTTTTAAAATTATTTTATGATGACAATTGAAAAAGCAAGATCACCGAGTCACATTATGAGCATATAAATGTCTTTAGTAAGCTGAACATGAGAAGAATTTTCTAAAAATATTTTTGAAATGTCAAATACGTTAGCTAACATATTTCAAAGTTTCCCTAATATGGTACATACAAAACTACGATATGTTGTTTATTGATTCAATCAAAATTACTGTTAATCAAATATATGGGATACTTAATGTGTATATAATTTTCTAAAAATGAATGATATGTCTATTTTGAAATTGAAGAAATATTAAATATATTTTACATTAATCATAGCAAATGAATATAAAGAAGTATATTCTAAAGAATTATTTTTTTAACATTGAATTTTAACAATAAAGTTAATATATATAATATATTTATAATAAAATAATTTAATGATTTCAATAATTGATGATGATTAATCATCATGCATTAATTATAAACTAACTAAGAATTTTGATTAAATAGAGCTTTATTTTGAAAATTTTAAATGAGAACTAACCAATTTCTATGCTATGCAATTTTTTTAATCTAAACTGATTTAATATATTTGTGTAAATTAAAATTTTGAATCTGACTTTCAGTTTGATCAGTATTAACTAAGCTAACTAAATCAACTTTAGAACAAATTTATGTCAAATTTCAACTTTTTTACCTTTTGTACTTTGATATTTATTTTTGCTTGATGTTTCAGTGTAAAAGTATTAAAATTTTAATCATAAGATATATAACTCATAATTATAATGTGTAAAGCTTGATTTGTTAATGAAATCAAGTTGGAACTTAACACATACAACTAGATTTAGGGTTTGTTGATATAGATTGCATAGGAGGGCGAGGCAACTAAGATTTAGGGTTTGTTGATATAGATTGCATAAGAGGGCGAGGCGTAGATCGCCTCAAATATTAAATTAGATTTTGTCAAGAAAAAATCTTATGTTACTTTAACGTAATCAAAGTCAAACCACATATTTTCAACATCAAATCTGCGTGCATGTTTGTGTGTGAAATTTTTGTGTTTTCTTGTGTGCATTTTGTGTAACAATTGGTAATATTAGCGAAAAAACTTAAAGTCTAATCAAGATTACAATGCGCTAATTTTGTTTTAACAAAGATGATAGAGTTTACTAGGTAGATACAAATAATTCATAAATTTTTGACCTGCATGTATTGGATTGTGGGAAGATCAAACCTGAAGTAATATCTTTTTTGGTGTATGATTGACTACAGGTTTATTGCAACAATCTTAGTTGAAACGTGTGATTTGCACTAATTTCAAAGACATGGCTATGATTGGACAGTGAAATGATAAGGTAAATCTTATAAGTTGCAGTTATCTCTCAATACATATTCATTGAATCTATTGAAGATAGATATGTCTTATCGTTCACATAATCATTAACACACCGTTTTTCATAACTTCAATATGTATATACTTTGTGTATCAAAGGTTTTATTATTTTAAGCTATGATGAAGAGTGTATTAACAACTATGTGAGTTGCAGGAGCATACCTAACTTTTAAGTCAGCGTAAAATTCAATCTTATTTGATATTTTATAAACGTTAGATACTTTTTAGACAATGGCATTTATTTCTTATACCATTAGTTTCTTAAAAATGAATTTTGCTGTCTAAGCTTTTTGTCTGCTCATAGAATAATTGAAGTTGAATTGCATCATAGTAGGCAAACAGGTGTCAACAACCTTACAGACTCACAAATGGAAGTCATAGAAATGGTTGCAACTATTGATTTCGGTTTAACCAGTATACAAGTTGAAGATTTGATGAACTAAGCAAGAGTTTTAAAATTATACACAAAAGAGCACCTATTGTTGCTTAAAGAATTGTTTCAACAGCTAGCAACATATATAATATGATTGCTATTGTTTAATAGAGCAACATGTTTTCTTCTATGTCTATCTTTCAAGATTAAACAAAGTCATATTATTCTAGTTCATGTAATTGCTAATGAAATTGGTTCACAATTATGTTAGTGAAGTAAAATTTTATAATTGATGAACTTTAATCAAGCTAAAAGCTATTGAAGCAAAAATATGATGCATATCATGTCTTTATTTGATTTGAAGTTGATTTTGTTATGAAGAGTTTATTATCCTCGCGTTTTGTATCAATGTCAAAGCTTGTGAGACATTACAAAAGCATGCATCAAGTGATTATAATACAAGACAAAACAAATAACTGTGATTAAATATGAAAACAAAGAAGCAAAGAGTGTGCTGGTTGGTCGGTTTGGTCTTGTCATTCTAGAATGATTATGAGCTTAGAAAATATACATATGATTGATTATTGGAGACTTGTAGTTAGTTGAAATGACATACTTTTATTCACAAAAGCCATATTTGAGTGAATAAAAAAGTCATTTTCACATACGTCAAATGAAAATTATGCCATATGACATGGCACAACTTTAAATGTCTAGTGTAACAAGATGATGGTCTCAAAAT